TATATATATACATACGCTAATTTCTAAAATATTTATTTAAAAAATTACTGCATATCTCTTAAAATTAATTATTTATTAAATTAATATACGCTAAACGCGATAAATATGTCACGGTAATACTTTTCAAATCAGCATATGAATTTTTCTTAGGGACTGTAATATTCTGAGAATAAAGAAACAAATGTTTTCCGTTCTGTCCAGTATATTCACACACATGAAAAGGCAAGAGTAACAGAATCCGCGAACAACACAAAAGGAGCTATTTTACTAATTTAATTACAAGTCGACAAGAACATATCGTGTGTCTACGTGAGATTGCTTTATAAAAGGCAAATACCACACGTGAAAAACATCTAACACAAAGCATCTAACTAAAATAAAGAAAAAAAAAAGTGTATTCCCTCGTTCTTCTATAATAAGGAAATAAAAGATTGTTGTAATATTTCACCGTAACAGGGAACTTTGCTTTTAACATTATTATCTCATTCGATATTATAATATAGTATATAATCGATATAATATCGGCAAAATAACGAAAATGATCAAAAGAATTACAATATATCGCTTAAGAACGAAATATAAAAAACATAAGAGGATTCATAAAGGGATTTTTCCGAAATTTTAATGATTGCCCTAATCTCTTTCAGTCCAAGATCAAACAAAATTAGACAGCAAATTCCAGTCGGATGAGCTACATGCATTCAGATGCAATCACAACGTATGTGCGTGCACAAGTGTGTAGGTGTATGTGAGACGAACAAAAGCGTAGAAGCTGCACTCGACTTTTAGCGATTTACGAAGCAGGTGTCGGATTAAAAGCAGAATTAATTAACTCGCGTGCATGTGCACTCCACCTGCTCGTGTGTAAGTATGTACGTGTATGTATGTGAACACGCGCATGCTATCGATATTTTATTCGCACGTCGTTGCATCGGCGATCGCAATGAACAAAAGAGATCAATCATCCATTTCATTCGATTTCGCGGCGAGATTGTGCGCGACTCTTTTTTTTTTGTCAGATGAAAAATACATGCCCAACGCGGCTTACGCACGATCAGTGATGTCTGTACCTGTAAATGCTTTGTAACGCGATGTGTCGCAAACGGATGAAAGAGAAATTTCAATAAAAGATTTTGTATTTGATATTGAACTTGGAACTGATCTTACCCTAATCAAGATTTCACTACGAAGCAAACTTTCGATATATCTCATAAATTCGAGAGAATAAATAGATAACAAAATTTATTAGTTAATTTAATAAATTTATTTTCATTAATTTAAAAAAATTGTGATAGAAATTTCATTCAAAGTTCGATCGCTTTTTTTAGACATTAAATATTTCTATTTAATGTTTAAAAAAAAAGAAATTTAATTTCGGTTAAGAAACGATTTCTACTCGAAATCGTATGAAAGAGTATACATATAGAAACAAGTTGAGTCAAATTAGGATTAAAGCAAAATTAACATTCTTCATTTTCCAAAACTTTTTTGTGCAAAAGAAAAAGTTTGTACGCACAAATATTAAAGACAAATCTGAATCTTTTTTTTTTTTAGTTTTGAAAAAGCTGAATGTGTTACGTATTTGTTACACACTTTGCATAATTTCGCGACATCCCTGTATTGAAAACAATATGGGAAGAGAACATTGCTTTTATATATGTAAATTCTTTTATAAACGTAAGTTTTGCGTCGGAGAATAATAGCTTAACGGTGCGTTAGTATAAATAATATTGCAAACGTCGCTATAACATTTACGTACAAAAGCACTTAACATTTCGAGAACCACGCACTCGGATATCCGTGGCATTCGACTCGAAGCATCGGGCGAGCCCAGTGAACGCATAATGGAAACGAAGCACAAGTGGATCGATAAACGCAATCAGACCGTCGACGAGAACTATATCGTCCGTGTGTCTGAATTAATTATTTCGACTAGTCCTGTTTCTTTTGCCGAATCCTTATTTAAATATGTTGTCGTTTTAAAACTGTCACAAAGGTAATGTTTGTTATTGTCAGGAAGAGAGTAGGGGAATGGCAAGACAAGTGTATTTTAAGCAAGATCTCTTGTTTCAAATTCAGAGAGTTGTCGGATTAAATTACGTATGCGATTAAATGACGTTAGATTTCTGTCAATGGCTGTTTCTTGAAGCGTGAAAACTAAATGTTTGCACGCATGACCAAGACAGTGATATAGTGACGCGACGCGTTTGACAATGTTAAACGCGTAATATGCATATATTTGGCAGAGAAATTGCAATTGCCCGGTCGGCGCCCGGCGTCCTACGAAAATTTATAAATGCAAATATATATATATACATACGTACAACACCCATACAAGAGAACGTGTTTTCTGTCTGTATAATTACGAGTTACGAGCATGCTAATGTCAAATCTCGCAAAAATCGTGGGAGAAAACGTGCTCTTGCAACAATGTCGTAATTCGCAATAATGTCATCCGGCAAAAAAAGCGTTGTTATTTCTTCTACCGACTTTAGCTAACGCGAATATCAAATAAAGAGAGAGCGATATTATTTGACGTATATATATTAAACGTATATATTATTCGATCAAAGTAAAAAATGTTAAAAGCACAAAATATTTTACTTTCTCATATTTTAATTTTAATAATTATTTAATTCTCAAAATATTTGAAAATAGAGAGAGAGAGAGAGAGAGAGAGAGAGAGAGAGAGAGAGAGAGAGAGAGAGAGAGAGAGAGAGAGAGAGAGAGAGAGAGAGAGAGAGAGAGAGAGAGAGAGAGAGAGAGAGAGAGAGAGAGAGAGAGAGAGAGAGAGAGAGAGAGAGAGAGAGAGAGAGAGAGAGAGAGAGAGAGAGAGAGAGAGAGAGAGAGAGAGAGAGAGAGAGAGAGAGAGAGAGAGAGAGAGAGAGAGAGAGAGAGAGAGAGAGAGAGAGAGAGAGAGAGAGAGAGAGAGAGAGAGAGAGAGAGAGAGAGAGAGAGAGAGAGAGAGAGAGAGAGAGAGAGAGAGAGAGAGAGAGAGAGAGAGAGAAGTCTATTTAAGTAGATTATTGTAAATAAATAATTAATTAATCATCTTATGCAATATATGTTAATACACATTTTAATCTGTAAATACTGATTTGCATAATTTATCCAATTTGTTAAAGGTTAAGATTTATTAAAAAAGTGTTGTATATACTTTTTTGACTTCAAGACTCTATATCTGATAATTTATTCAAAAAATGAATACAACTAGTTTTAAGCAACGAAATATTCACTAACACTCTTGCGTTTTTTCCTTTCATTTTTTTGACACCCTAAAAAATTTAAGTTATAAATTAGAGTTGCAAATTATATACAACCCACGCTACTACATTTTATTTAATTGCGATAAGAGACCAAGAGTTGCGTTCACACAAATAATTGGATAAATCTTAAGTTCTAAATCTGAATAAAATAAAGTTCTATACAAGATACGCGCGTAGTCTGTGATTTACAAAGTCAGGAAACTGTATAAGAGAGTCAATGTGAAAGATAAAGATAAAAAAGTTTGATCCGCGCTGTTATTACGCTGTATAGTAAATGGCGACGTTAATTGCTCGGAGCAAAAGAGCTCGCAATCGGAATTATGAAATGTCTACTTTCTTAGATCTTATTGCAGTTATTCATTTCAGAGGAGTGGGAAAGGAAGCGTGCGATTTCTTCATGAAGAAACGTTAAATTGAAAGACTAATCTAAAAAAAAAGGAATGCGAGCGTACAATTATATACAATCGGTTGATTAAAGCCAATCAATTCTTATTCGCGCTGATAAATTATACAATGAATTGTATTAATACTATATATATATATATAGAGAGAGAGAGAGAAATAGTTTTCCTCTCTTTCTCCTTTTCCCTTTCTTCTTATATTTTAAAGCATCGTGTTATAATTTTTTTTATTATTGTCAAAAAGTTTATAAATTTTTTACTCATCCTTATATCATATTTTTTAAATGTCTCAAGGAATTTCTCTCCACCAGGTAAAATAAATTTATTTATTCTCTCTTTTTCACCTCCTCTTACCAAATAATTATGTGGAAAATTAAATTTAATAGCAGCAGAGTTAGTAATAAACTAAATTTAAGGAAATTTTATATTTGAAAAAGACAAGAATGGCGCGTGTGCGCACAATAACGATTGTAACTAATATACATATATAAGGCTCCCCTCCTTAATCGACATAACTATTATATTACTTGCGATAATCTAATCAAACTTATAGCAAGCGTAACTTTCTCAATTAGTGCGACTATTGATTTATACCTTCTCGTGAAAATCGCGTTTGATCCACTCGCCATTCAGTATCATCGTCTGCCATTCGTCTACACGTAACAACCGTAGATCCGCTCTATTCGATCGTACACTTCGACTCTGGAAACAAAATCTGTATTATTTTCAACTGCATTTCTCTTATTTTATCGCAGAATTCTTTACTAGTGCCATTAAAGAGGACAAAAAGCTAAGTGTATGGAAAAAGAATGCGTGACGACAAAATGAAAGTACAAAAAAAGTACAGGTTTCGAAAAGCTGCAAAAAAAAAATGGCACAATATATATTATGTAAAATCGCAACTTTCTTGTATTTTACAAAACAAAAATCCGCGTGAAACAATTTTCCGTTATATAATTATAATTAACATTACTTGCTCAGTCCTTCCTAATCGAAGAACGGACGCTACGGATGGACTGTTTGATAATACAATACAGGAAGGTTAAATGTGAGATTTCTAGAATTGCATTATCTTTTTACCAGTAGAATTGAAGCTGTCACGACTTGAATTAGTCCAGTCTCCCTCCATTGCAAACGATCCGGGAAAATTATTTACTTTGCGCACTTATTATTACGAACAGGAGGTATGCAAATCACTTTCGCGCCTATTAAACAGTACCGCAACTTTACAAACATTAACGTCGAACAATTTGAAATAATCGTAACGTAAAAAAAAAAACCCGTGTGGCGCCCTCGTACGAACATTTTATTTATCGTTTATACCAGCGCGTCGATAACTGGAAAATTTATCGTACCGACGATCGCAACAACGTATCGGATATTTAGACAGATTTAAAAATACAATATATGTAAAAAATTATGATTTTTAACACGCATTATATTAATAGAAATATTATTCGATAAAGGCGACACAAGAAATAAATACGACAAGTTTACATTCGATTTTGTATCAAATAATTCGCCATGTTTGTTATGAATTCACAATGTCGTGACATCTCGTCACGATAAACAAGACTAGTTTATTCATGAATGATATCGGGATCGCTTTCACTAAACGCAATGTTCCGTTATTATGAGTAATCAACGCTATTTCGAACTATCAAAATATGGCAGAGTACAACGTCAAAAATAGCAACACCGACAGATTGTCAGAGTCCGAGATGAAACAGAAAACGATTGACAGGGCACCTTTTCGAAACTTGAAAATTAGTGACTCCAGAATATTAAATACGCTTGAGGGTAGAAGAAAGTGTGAACTCTGTTGTAAATCGCGCAAGTTCTTCTGTTACACTTGTTGCGTGCCCGTCATTGACAATTCGTATTTTCCATGGGTGAAGGTAGACCGATTAAAAGTTATATATGTGACTGACTTTGCTTAATTTATAATAAAATTTGAGCTGTAGTTTTTTGCCTTTTAGCTGCCAATTAAAATCGACATCATTAAGCATGCTCATGAGATAGACGGGAAGAGTACTGCTATTCACGCTGCGATACTTGCACCAGAGGATGTAAAAATCTATACATATCCCGATTTTCCAGATATATCAGATAAAGAGGAAGTAAGAGGAAGAGTAACAATCTATTCTAAAGTCTTGCGATTCTTGCGAATTATTATTAACTTAAGGAATTGTCATCTCTTAGACTGTTTTAATCTTTCCTAGCAAAAGTGCGCAGACTGTAAGCGTAGAGGCTCTCTTTACAAAGAAGAAAGGGAAGAATGATACTTCAGCAAATGGAACCGAGACTGTATTTCCTATAAAAAGGGCCATTTTCATCGACAGCACATGGCAGCAAACCAAAGCAATATATAAAGACCCAAGATTGAGAGGTATACATTAAAAGAGAATCCATTTTCTATACAATTCAACTAAGAGAACATTTTTTAGATCGTTATAAAACTTGCAACTTTTGCAGAACTACGTTGCGTCATTTTAAAATCGAGGATCTCTCAATTCTGGCGTTACCAAAAGAAAAGTCCAAGATGGTACTTGGCGACGATTGAAGCAATTCATCAATTTTTAGTGGAGCTACACACGTGTGCTCTCAAAGCAGAAGAATACCCTGATATACATAGGTCTATGTTGAATGGAAAACAGGAATCTATAACTAATAACAAGGAAACGGAAGAATGTGGAGAAATTAATCAAAAGTATCATGGACAATACGATAATCTTTTATACTTTTTCAAGTATATGTATGATAAAATTCACTCGATATACGATCACGATCAATTAAAGGCTTATAAAAGGCCACTCGCGTGAAACTATTTTATCTCTTAATAAATTCTTTTGCATAGAAAAAAATTACGTTTGGTCAAACAACTTTGCTTATATTATTTCTACAGATGATTTACGAAATTAAAACATTGAGAATATTATTCCTTTATAATTCGACATTAAAAATGTGAAAGATACCGAACTAGACGTAATTTTGTTACTTTTATGTTAAGTCATTCAAGAGATTTTGGAGATTATTTCTTTTCTAAACATATATATACACGATAAAAAAAAAAATTACATTTTTCAAAAGGAGAGAGAGAGAGGGAGAGATACTTGAAAATATTTCAACTCTTTTTCGTGTCTCGATTGCATGGGATACAAATTAGTTAATCTAAGTAAATGTTTATTCTGCACAGCATTGTGATAAAAAAAAAAAAGATAAACAAAAATATATATCTCCTTTGCGCCGGCAATCAATGTTTACTTTCATGTAAGGGAGGGACAACGCACGACGCGCGGAATGGTCCTAACCTAAACACGAGGGAGGCGGCACGGCGCGACGATGGCGTAATGGCGACAAGTAGCAGAACAGCAGTGCTATCTGATGTCAAAACGCGCAACCAGCGCGCACTTCACTCCACTTGTTCCCTTTCTTTCTCTCTCTCTCTCTCTCTCTCCCTCTCTCCTCTTCCGCCCCACGCGTCCCGTCGTCGTGTCGTCGCGCGCGGCCGTAGCGGGTAGCGCTCTCGCAGCCGTCTGCGATGAGTTTAGTTTTGAAAACAAGGGGCCGATCGTCGCTCGCGCCGTGCTACGTCGCCGTCGCCGTCGTCGTCGTCGTCGCCGCGTGTAGACGGAAGTGCTCGGTCGCAAGCGCGGACGTGGATTAAAACGCGCCGCTGTCGAAAGTCGTGTGTACAGTTTTTATACGGCCCTTCACGTTCAGCCGTTTATTCGTGCAGACATCCGTCCATCCCGTTCCTCTCTCTCTCTCTCTCTCTCTCTGTCTCTCTATCTCACTGTGTATCTTTCCTCTCCCTCTCCCTCAGCCGTCCTTAAACGACTCCTACGCTTCTGGCGTCTCTTTCGTGTCCGTTGTCGGGCGAAACGTAACCGATAGAAAAGAATGGACGCCCTTCGAGAGCAGGTAATGATCAATCAGTTTGTACTGGCCGCAGGCTGTGCCAGGGAACAGGCCAAGCAGTTGCTGCAAGCGGCACATTGGCAGTTCGAGGTAAGGAAACGGGCAGGTTGGCGAAGGCGAGGGGGTTGCGAGAAAAAGAAAAACAAAGAGAGAGTGAGTTTCTTGCGCGCCCTTTCCGATATACATGTTGCCATGTATACGTTAATGTCGTAAAGACGCGCGGAGTACGTGTACGCGACAGGCTATGCTCCTGTCTGTGTACACCGCTACGTAAACAAAGCGACCGAAAATGGCCGATCAGCGCTGGTTATCGTTGCTCGCTCTACGTTACGCGACACGAGGACGATGTTACGAGAATTAGCACCCTACTCTGTCGATCGATCTATTTTCCTGAGCACGCGATTACGTCGTCATCAATATCATTATCATCGTTCTCGCGAAGCGAGAACTCGTCAATGAACGCGCGACTCGCTCTGTTTCGCGTTCGCTTCATTCATAAAAATATTGCACGATGTTACGCGATTGGACACCACGCGATTTCCCAGCGCGATATCTGCCTAAATTTCAATAAAACGAATATGATCTCGTAAAACGATCGTAAAATTCGTCTACGTAATTTTTCCATCGCATCGCGTTGCGTTTTTATCTGATAACAACTCTACGTCGCCGTAAACATAATATATTATCGAACAACGAATGTAAATAGTTCCTCCTTTTTGTGATCGTCGGTTTATAAACACCGGTTTTAAAATCCCCTACTTAAGAAAAGACTCCGTTCTCCATAAATGTCCGAACGAGAACGCGTTAAAATTTACTTTCCCCGTACGTGTGTATGTTAAATCGAAAATTGATCTCCGCTAATTATATCATTTTACTTTGGTTTGTTTTCATTCGCGTATAGTATGTACTCTCGCTACATAATGACCTGCACGGTCTGCATCCTCGGTCTTGTCATTGCGCAAGAGGATTATATACCGCCGTTGCTGATTCATCAGCCATATACTCATATGTCATTTCCTTGTATACGGTATTTCCTTGGTATACGGTATAGTATCGGTATCGAGTATATCGGCCGAGTATTATGTCATAGACGTACGCGATCAACATCGGGAAATTTATATAATCGCGATTTATAATCTCTTTTTAAAATAGCACTCGAATTCTTTCCACTTTAGGACTTGTCACTCTGTTGTCATTCATGCGCCAAGTACACAATCGCATCCTAATCGTCAGACGAAAGAGATCGATAGTCGCTATTCACGTTGCGAGTCACGCGGTATATTGTGTTTTTTAAACGGGCGTCGTCGACCTGTTATAAAGATGTATGTATATATTAATTATACAATGTACATACAACCGAAAGAGAGAGAGAATGAATTTTGTACGCATCAGAAACCAGAAATTGGTGTAATTTCGGCGAATTATTTGAATCTAGAGAGACTCGCGTGCATGACTCATATTTATTCCTAACGATAGAATCGTCATAGATATTGATGTAAATTTCAATTTTTCCATATATGGATAGAGAATTAAACTTGTCAAAATTATGCCGATTTTAAATCTATGACTAAAACTCGAAACATGGTATTTATTTTTTTTCTAAAATTTTAATAGGGCTTCTTTGATCATTTGGCTATTAGATTATCAAAAAATCCCTGTCGTTTCGTCGAGATTTTTTTTTTTTAATATAAGTGATTTTTAACGTGTTATGTAACACATGAAAAGGAAAATAGATAAGATTAGAAATGACAAATTTTGCTGTAGTCAATTTTACCTTAGTTGAATTAATCGTAATTAAATTAATCGGAGTTTTCAGTCGAAGAGGCTCACAATGTTAGATTATCGTGATATGTTAGAACGTAATGAATTTTCATTCATTCTGAGAATACGATGACTGAAAGGTGAGGAAAAATATCATCACACAGATCATAAATATGTATAATATTCTTTTTTCAGCAATAAGTCTAGCAAAATATGTGTGAGACACCGATTGTTTATTACTAAAATATTATAACAAAGATTGTTATTAAAATTTACGATTGTTTATTTTTAAGATTATTAAAACATTAAAAATCAAGCGTAAGATTAATGATTCCTTATCTTACGATCTTATCTCTTCGTAATCTTATTTTTTTTTGAAGTTTAGATATACAATATGATGATGTAATCGAAAGCAAAACGAGAGCAAAGCTCTGCATGATTGTGTGCCCATTATTATTATTATTACTATGAGTAATTATGAAAGAATGAGAAAGAGAGAGAGAAATAACATTACGACACACTAAGATGCGTGCTAATGCATCATCGTGATTAGAGTTTAGCACGAGGAATCTTTCTGTGTGCTTTGCGACCACAATGTAAACAATGCGGCAACGTATATTTATACACGCGCAAGAAACGCGCGTCTCATTTCATCTCGTCTCGTCTCGTCTCCTCGCGCCATGTCAACTCGATGTAACGTGATATACAGGGTGTCCCCATATTGTACCACTTTTTATCTTAAGAGGTATAACATGATAATATGATAAAAATACAAAAGATTACTACTACCGCTACTTTCAGATGTCGGTAAATATTTATCATATTTTTCAATAATCAATTCTACATTTCTTTATAGTTTGAATCACTTTCTCGTGTAATGATACATTGTATATTAAATTTATACAGTAATTATACCGATATACACGCCACCGCGAACGCAAAGTGGTTGTTATAAATATGTAGATAACACGCGCGGAAATGTCACAGCGAATTTTCTCCATTTAAGAACTTTCTCCGCTCGAGCGGGGAACGTTAAAGCGGAACCACACTATATATTTGAACTTGAGACTATTTTATCCATTTGTTTTTTATTTATTTATCCGATTAAAGCCCATCGTCGGTTAAATAAACCAACCGTAGGGATAAAAATAAACAATACAAATACTTCTTTTATAATTGCAATGCTGAAAGTAGTTTTTGGAAAAACAAAAAAGGTAGCTATTTTAAGTGTTTTCTGTTCCAAAGAAGAATATCAGTTTTCCATCAAACAAATATTAAGTACATAATTACATAATTATATAATTACGTGATTTGTGTTAACGTGTATTAATGTTTGCTGAAACGAGATTAAAACCGCCAGTTTAACTTATTCAATTAGTCTGGTTTTCCTAGCTCACGTTATTCCCGCGTTTTATTAAATATAAATTATATAATAAATCCATTTTATATGTATCAACTCTCTAGCTATTTTGCGCTGTAATATTCTTCTTTCGGTCTTCTCTCCTTTTTGTAAAAATCCGAAGGTTACTTTTGTTTCGTTTTTTTTTTCTTTTTTACATATTTGCAAAGATGTCAATAAACACAGCTGAAAATAGCAGATATAACAGATACAGTGAATATCCCCACCTATGCAGCTTTTATGTTTCCCTTTCGCTTTCGCTGCCACAGCGTTCTGACCGAAATATGAAACGCGTTTCTTGCCACGCTGGCCTATTACATTCTTATGCTAATGTCTTCGATATATCAGACTATCGAGTATCACCGGCGTTTTAATTAAACACCAGTTGGTTGAATGTCATGGTATATTGCGTGACGCATTCTCCTTATAACAGACATTAAACTAGTTAATTCTGCCTTAAATCATGAGCACAATATTTTACTCTAATAAAATTACATTTATTTAATTGTTAAAGTTATTATTTAATTTTATATTGCGTGTACGTGCGTGTGTGTTTTGTGTGTAGTTGTTAGATGTATAAAATGACAGAACAAAGTCTGTTTATAGATAATTATCGTTACATTAATAATAATAATAACTGATAATTGACGTAGCATTGAGACAACCATCGTGTTACAATTGTTATCTGCAATTATCGGATGGCTCTTGGATAGAGTGCGATAGTATGGATATCCGATATCGGCCGCGAGCGCAAGGATCGGATATCGATATTATATTATAAAGCATCGGACGATACTGACGAAGCAGCTTACGATTACGAGATTGTAACGGGCAGTTTAATGACAGAGGGTCACAGAGACTATATATATAACATAGATTTCTTATTCGGCCAGATTATATCATTCTCTCGCTATTCCTAATCATAGAGATGACTATATACGATCTCTCTTGCCTTCGATCAAGAGCGACGCGCTAAAATTAGAGACGCAAAGATATTCTAATCTTTATGTCAATATATTTTACTGTTTGAATAACGATAAAAAAAGTCTAATGTTAGAGAGAGGAATAGAGAAGAGCAATATCAGAGAGAGGAATACCAAAAAAAAATTCTTCTATAAATTGA